GAAGGATGTTAATAAAACAAGTGTGACTAGCATTTCCATAGACCATATACTCAGATACATCGAGAGAACAGAAAGGAGGATGCACATTAGATTTCCTGAACACTCAACGAAAAGGCTACGTCTCCAGGGAAAACATGATTCTAGCAGTGCTGTTGCCAGAATTTTCGTTGATATGGATCATGAGGTGCACTCTGGGAAGTCCCTCAAGATTATCAATACATGATATAATTCATTTCTTCTCGAGTTTGCAGAGGTGACGGCTACCAAATGCGTGAAACCTAACTTATGCCTTTAGAAAGTAGCAGTTACTTGTCTTTCCTTGCTCTAGTAACTCGGTATCTTTACTACTCCTCCTATGTGATTACGAAATCTCTGCCTCCAGTCTATTCTCAACCTTCACTTCGATGTAATCTTGCTTGTTTCCGATCACTATGATTTGAGTTGAACTCGTCACATTCTTATGCATCTTATTATTTCAACGTCGCCTAATTATCCACCTCTCGGCCTTACCACGCAAATATTTTTCTGTCGAATGGAAACACTTATTAATTTTGTTGGTTTCATACAGTTTAAGCTCGAACCTTCTGTGCATCAGTGTATATAAGTGTAAATTCTCAGCACCATTTCACAGTTTTAGAGTCTCCTGTTAAATGACATCATGTCACCTTTACAAGTACGTTAAATATCCTCTGGTTATAGAAGAGCAGTCGACAAGACAAGTGATTTACACAGTCTATTCTGCATGCACCGTTGATTTTGCTTTGTTCGTAACCAGAAATGACATCGAAATTCGATAACTAATGAATCTGCTTCCAGAGTAACTCTGACACTGTAGAAACCAGATTCTGCTCTCCATGATAACACCGGTCTTCCGAAGGCGTCATTTATATGCGCAAATGAAACCGGATTCTGAAAACAAGAGTTTCTCTACTGTTTACGTCTCGGATATGACAGTACAATGAATTAGTAATCAGAAACATTATACTGACGTTTAACCATGCTTTCAGTGGTTCCAGTATACGTGCTCACGCCACTACTGCAGAACGTTTGGACGGAAAGAGAGGTACCTAGTGATTGGAAGAAAGGCTTACCACCTTGTCAAACCACCAAAGAGGAATGACTTAGGCCTCTGCAGCAACTGGCGTAGAATTACTCTCTTCTCCACACCAAGCAAAACATTAAGTCGAATCATCCTGGAGAGAATATAAGATGCACTAGATGCAGAACTCCACCACACCGGTCAGAATAAGATTGAATCAGGAAAGGCAAGTCATGTTCTGGTCGAAGGCGAGAAGACAGAACTTCAGGTGAATATAGAGAAGTTGAAGGTGATGAACAAAAGCAATCAAGCAACAGCAACAAACAATACAACACTATCAACGTGAGAAATTTGAAAGATATGACTTCCTTCAATTATCCAGGCAGAATCGTCTCAATTACAGGCAACTCTACGAATGATAATGCCTAAGTCAGTCAGAATAGGAAAGGGAAGATAGACCTTCCTCACTCTGGAGTCAATTCGCAAAATCCTTTGCACTCATTATGAAGCACATTGTTCGGATTTTCAACACCAATTTCAGGTCAGCCACTTCTACATGGATGAGAAACTTAGTGTGTCATGAAAAGCATTTCATTCATCAACAGCTGCCTTCGTTGGCTCTATACTGAAGATGAGATGACGAGAAAGGATAGGCAACAAGAAAACTGGGGAAAAATAAATCAAGAATATATTGTTCAAAAATATACCACAGAAAATGTACATGGATCCTACACAAACCACTGAGGCGAGCACTAGGTGATATAGCAAGTTAGGTAATCACATAAGTAGAACCCGAATGAGAAACGATGAGTTGGGCATAGTTCCTATGATGAGATAGAGGAGATTGTGTGAGAGTGAGACTAAAGCTTGTGGACAATCCCGTAAGCAGCTGAAGAGGATCGCTGAGAACAGGCAAAACTGGGATTTGTTGTTGAATTCCCTCTATAATTCAACTGGAACCCAAGGAAATGATAAATATAATGAATAAATATTGCTTCAAATTATGCGTTGAATATACTTTTAGGCGTAAAACAAAGATACTTTTATCTCTGTGGTTTTCAGATGCAGTCAGTTGGTTTGAAGATTATCTATACCACGAGAATTTCATGATGCACACTGACGACATATTCCTTATAAACTGAGTTGCTGATTAAACTTGAGGTGCAGACACTGGAAAATCAGAAAAATATATTCCTCATTTGTGAATTACTCTTGACAGAATCACTTTTAATGTATGTGATAGGTGCCTGTACATTGTATGGTATTCATAAAATAATTAAAAGTTGAACTGATGTGGTTTGATTTCAGATTATCGCCACTACAAGTACTACTACTACTGCTATCACTAGCGGAACTAACTTTACTGCTTTCATTTGTGAATATGTGAAAATACAGAATGTGTATAAGGTTTGAATAAAATTCCTGTTTTTTTATGAAAATATTCATTCCATTAGTCAACAGCTGCTTTTCCTTTCGGCTAAAGACAGATCGAACAAGCAGAGGCACTGTTGTGTCGTATTGTATATGCATGTATATAGCTGAGGGATAGATGGGTAGTGGTTTGAAGAGAAATAATAAATGACTCCATTCGGATATTACTCCATTTTCTGCATTCTTCATCACATTGTTATTTTCCCTTCTGATACAGGTATACCATAAAATGTTCAAATATATTTGCAAAAGGATTTCCCATAAAGTGTGTTGTTTCTTTGGGGGATTTTTTTGCAAAACAACTGTTGAATCACCCTAAATGCACGTTTATAGGTTCCAAAAATATTTTCAGATAAATGTATTATACTACTAATTGCTTACACACATACACAAACATTTTTATTCACATCCCAATACAGTAATGATAACATTCCATTATTTGCGTATTATTATTATTCCCTTGCCTTCCGAGTGGAACATAGGGCTTCAACAATACATCTACACTTTCTTCTATCTTCTGTTGTCCTCTTCAGACGCGTTCAAGATTGGCTATAATCTCTCATCTCCTCCAACTCAAGCTATTTTCTCTATGTCACCCTCGTAATGACTAACCATCGTCATTTCCCATTGGGATTCCACTCGAGTGATGTGCTAGATTGCGCGTGATGTTAATCGACGGCCTCCTCAGTGTATGCCCCATCCATCCACCTCTATTTTCTTCTACATATTTATTGAGCAGTTGTCTCTTGATTGGTTCGCTCCACTGTAGAGTTTCTTGTTACTAATTATTTATGGCTGGCCAACTGGCCATGTGATCTTCTGTATTGAGTGCAGGCAGCAGTTGGTGAAAGTTTGCAGTAGTCTGTTGGAAATCTTTTTCGTGACACATAGTGCTATTTTCCGACCTATATAGAAGTGACTGACTAACTTCACATTTGTGTTGAAAGTCCGAATCTTGTTCTTTATGCAGACTGAGTTCAGTGCAGAAGATTTCCGAGCTGGTTTCAGGTTGATGAAGGCGTATATTGTGTTTCCGATTCTGGCTGGCTGACTTTGATATCTTCATCCACGCTGCCACCTGTGGTTGAAACCGTGTTTCCTAGCAGGATAAGTGAAGGAGGTAACCTCTGTTAAATCTCCCCTTTTGATGGTGATTGGTACTGGTTGTTGTTGTGGCTAATTCGTCTTCTCTATGTTCACCTGCAGTCCTGTCTTCTCTGGCTGCCTCTTTAGCCAGTTTGTTGGGTTTTGTTCTACAAGTCTTCGAGTTTGTGTGACGTTAAACACATGTCATCTGAGAAATCCAGATCTTTTATAATCTTATTGGTCAGCGTGGCATATTCCTGTCTCCTTGCTTCCCACAGTCTGGCACATAATCCACCACAATTAGGTATGTGATCGGTAATAATTGACTAACAGCCTTGTCTTACTTTTGTATGTACTTCGAACGCCTTACTGAGTTTTCCGCTGTGGAACACCCGACACGTATTGTCATATAGCTGTCGAATGTGAGGTTGCTCCTAGCTCCTAGGTCCATCTCCAACCCTCCCTTTTTACCTTGGCTTGGGTCTGGCTCGGAAGCTAGCAATCTAGTTAACTAGGTGAGGTTATTATTTAGGTAAACTGCTAAAAATCGCTCAGTATACTTCTA